GTCGGTGCAATGATTATTTGCAGGAAAGGTGAGAAAAATTTGTTTTTTACATTTGTCACAGATTGAACATTAAGCTGATCTAAATCCTAACAATGAAAATATTGCCCTTGTGTACAGCTATGTCTACAGCCCTATCTACACTATTAAATTTTATGTAATTTATAATATAAAATAAATGATAGCAGCACATTTGAGACTAAAAAAAAATTATTCTGTAGTTTTCGTCCACACAGTGGACTTCATCAGGAGACTGTACAAATGGGAAAAGAAACAACTATAATATACAACAGAAATAATAGTTATCTACATTAGTTGCATAAAATTTGGTAGTATGGATACAGCTTTTGGAATATTAAGCATTTTAGAATATTTTTAGTATATTAAGCATTTTAGATCTATTTTAGTTATTTTCATAATTTATTTAGATTTTTTTCATTATAATAATATATTGTTCTTGGTTTTGATAATTATAAATCAAAATTTTTGTATGTGACTGGAAGGTATTATTCAATTTAAATCTAGCAATTTTAATTTAAGCCTAAAAATAATTACAAGTAATATAATAAAAATTATAATAATTGTGTGTAATATATGTATGGCATAATTATAACTGTTAAAAATATATCTAAAAAAGTTGCATCAGCTATAATGATTAAGTCATGTACAAGTATGGTGTCCGAAGTAGGCTATAACTTAGTTCCTGTAGATTTTATTGAGCTATATAAGTGGATCAAAAATAATCTTTTCTAAACATACTTGCAGCGTGATTCATGTGCATTTTGAAGGTCATTGAGATTAGTTTATATTATCAAAAGGTACATTAGCAACTGTTTTAATACTACTGTATGTTATACTTCCTTATTTAATTCATTAATCTACTGTAGTATTTACCACATCCAGTGGCGGATTTAGAAGGGGGGGGGGGGCGTATGCCCCCTCTATTTTTTGTAAAAAACAATTGTGAAGTATATCAGAAAATTACCAAGCTACTGTAAATAGTAAACATCAGTAAAATACAGCATCTAATTATCAAAAGTACTAGAAGTTTAAGGGAGAGATTAGCCCCTTGCACCCCTACCAGGGGCTCTTCCCTGAGACTGTCACTCAGTTTGCACATTCACGCCCCCTCTTTCTTGCGGGGCTAGGTCTGCCCCTGATATTACAACACAGATGTACATTAGAACATTAATAATCTTCATTATTAGGCTAAGTAAAAAAAACAAGTAGTTTCTCGTTCTAATATTTTGAAAGGATAATGAGGGCACGTTTTTTACTACGAGGTGGTAAATCCAAGATGGTCGATGGGAAACAGTTCCTACTTTTCAACTTTCATCAAGTAGACACATTGAAAGCAAATAGAAGACGCACTAGACATGATTCATACAATGTATCCCCAACCACGAACGGTCCAGAGAGGAATTTTACTGATGTGAGTTAGCCAGATTTTCGTACACTTCGTAAAATAAAGGAAATAAAAAGATAAAAAAAACCATGAGGCAGAGAAAATGGAAGCGCGAGGGGATGAGAAACTAATATTGTTTTTTTGGCCTTAGATTAAAGATGTATTTTCTTATGCAAAAATAAAAAAAAGTTATAATAAAAAATTAACTTTCTCATTTTTAATATAAAAAAAAGTGTATTTAAAAAAATGTTTACCCATAATTTTACAGCAAAAAATGAAAGGACTACCAGTCACTGGAAATGTTTTATTTTTGTCATTATTATCCAGTACAAAAATCAGGGTACACATTTTTTAAATGAAGTAACTCCCCTCCCCTCCCCCTCCCCCTCCCGTTGGGGAGTAAAACCAAAATTCGTCTGGGAGATAAAACAAATTTATATGTATTTCTACATTTTAGACTCTAAAATTGATTAAGTAAGCCTTTGAAATCCCTAAATTCTCATATTTTTTGAAAATGTTAATTTTGTGACCCAAAAATTACCAAAAAAAACATATTTTTTATGACAATCTGATGGCCAACCATCTAAAACAACAAATTTATAAATTCAAACTTTTTCAACGTTTCGTTGACCTAAGAGTTGCATCACATTATGTGGAATTGTTTATATAAATTTTAATGTGATTTACAGTCAGTAGGCTAAAACTTGTGTTTCAATAATCATCTCAATCATATACAATACTTATAGGAATTCCATTCATCCATGTTTCTGATGTACTTTTTTCTTTTAATTTAACTATCTGGTGCTCTACTAGTTGGTAAGGAGATGAGACTGTTAACTCTTAAAGAGAATGGTTGGGAGGGGGGTCACGGGAAGATAAAAGGAAAATTATTTATTTCAATGAATCAGCAATAGGAAATAATTTAATTTCTTTTCGTTTCGCTTTCATTCCTTTTTTTTGATGCACCATTGGGTAGTGTCTGATATGACAGTGTGCCACTGTTGTAAAAGTAAATCCAATAAGTATTGAAATTGTATAGGCCTATAGAGTGCATCAAGGCAACACGACCGCTTTGCAGTTTCCCTTTACATTTAATTACCCCGGTCATTGGATCAAACACATACTTCCTGTGTAAGAATATATTCCATAATGTGCAGCTAGTAATGAGCATTGAAACCTACCAGGTACTCACTTCTGGAATTACTTAATGATTGTAATATGTTAAATTTTTAAAAAGTCAGATTTTTTTTATATGGACAACTGAGTTTCTTAGACACAAGAAGTGTGTTTGATGAAAAACTTAGTAACAGTTAATGAGATACAGATTTTTGTATATTCAAATAGGAGAAAAAAAATAGTGGTTTGTGGACTAACTTTTAATGCTCCTCAGTTAAAGGGTATGTTATTTACAAATTACATGATGGATTTTCTGGTTGACATAGTCTATTTAATTTGGACATTGGGCACTCCCTCATGATTGAAAAGGGGCGCCATACCTCTCCAAATACTCCTTTTTCTAAGCAGCTCTAATATTAATAAAATTGAAGACCAATTTCATTTTCGTAGGAGATATTTCTTTTATTCTGATTGATTATTTTTATCACACCCATACTGAGCCACCATGAACATTTAAATTTTTGTCAGTATACAGCATTTATCAAACTGATCAATAAACTGTTTATTTCACTAGTTACTTCTTTACTGCCTATAGGCATTTAACACAATCATTTTGTTAAATGAGAAAACATTTTTTGTTTTGTTTTACTTGATCTCTGACAATATTTCAAAAAATCTTTTTGTGGCAACCTCACAAAAAAAAAAAAAAAATGATGTTCAGTTATTAGTACAGGGTTAAAGAGTAAAATGAGAGCTATAAAATGGTAAAAGACTCATTTAAATCCACCATACCATAGGCTTAGCCACCGAGCCGTCCGGCCGTCTTTTGGACGACCTACAATTATTTAGGATGGCTACTTTTACCGTGACGGCTTGGCCTAATCAGCTCGGCCTAGCCTAATTGGGCCTGGTACGTCTGCCTTTAGAAATTCTTTATATTCTTCAAATCTATCAAATGTTACATTCTTATTAATAGGTCCATGATTAAACTAAAGCTAAATCATATTTACATTTGATAAAAACAACATTGTTTTTGTACCAATATTCGGTGGGGATTCCAAAAGACAGGTGTGGCACTGAGTCAATGGGCTTCCATTTTGGACAGCCTATTTTGTTTTTCTGGCTAAACCCCTGATGGCAACGGATAAACACTAATTCAGTGATGATGCCATGGTGAGTGACTGGTTTGGCTTGTCTTTGCCATGATAATTACCAAAGAAGGTACAATAGAAGAAGTCTGGGCAGCATTTTGTTGTAGCCTATTGCAACAGGCCATTGTGAAATCATGGATTTTCAAACTAGACATCATGTGACGCAAGTCTTGATAAAATTATGCTCTTGAAGTTTTGCCAAATAAGCTCCAGAATCATTTCCGGGTACTGCAGGTAATAATGCTAAGATAAATGACACTGCGATAATAAGTTCTTTCATGTACTTAAAATAGTCTAGTCTACGTGTAGATTTGTGTGAACAAATTTAATGTACAATTATATGGCCTTTATATGCTTATTGGGATTATGGCCTATAGCAGATAAGAAAATTGATATGAAGTGAAAACAGATTGTTGGGAACTGTGTGAGGTCTGGACCTACCCTTCAGTTGATCTATATTTAAACCCTAAAGAATGGGAAGAGAAAAAGGGAGTGAAGACAAAGGGGGAGAGATAAGGGGAAAAATATACAGATTGATTTAAAGATAATGACTTAATTTTAATTTAAAAAAGAAAAAAAAAAAAACTAAACTAAAATATCACTTTAATCCAATATACTGTAGTAAGCCAATGTTGCACATGCAATGTTTTTATTTATAACAAGAATAATTATCATGTGCACCAGAACATAGAACGTACGTAGTTCAAATGTTAAACCTCTGGTTGAACATAGATATTCTCTTTCCACTTATGTTCATGAGTGTGCTGTGCAGTGGAAAGAAATTGTTGGGGTGAGAAGGAGGAATGTTGGGGTGGAGATTAGTGTTACTAATTTTGGAATTTTTTAAAAGAAAATGGAGTTGGTGTGGAGAATGGAATTGGAGGGTTGGAGGATGGGAATGCTTGGTTGAGTAGGGGAATATTTGGATAGGAAAATGGATTGTAGGAGTCAGTAATCATCAACATGATTACTGTGTATAAGGGGATTTGAGGGTGGGTAAGGTAAGAGGGATGTTTATGCATGGAAGGACAAGGAAGGAATGTGATGGGGAAAATTATTTGGTATGAGGAGAGGGTGAATATATTTAGAAGTATATTTTTGGAGTAGGGAAGTAGACAAGAGTGGAGTAGGATTGATGGGAATATTGAACAAATGTTAGAAGAGAGGAGGGGCAGATGGCATGTTGGGAGTAGGGAGATTATCATAGTGGTAATATATTATAAACTTCTATTTTTTACAGGTATCTTAAATGCCGGTGGAAGAAGATCAGATGTGGATAAGGAGTTTGTTTTGATGTTCACTGTAACTGATGAAAATCTCAGCTATTATTTGGATAAAAATATTGAACATTTTACAACAGACACCGTGGACAGAGGTTTGCTTAGATATTTAATGTGGAATAATTTTTAAAACTAATTTGTAGAAATTGATTCATCCAGCGTAATTTTAAGTGCGGTGTTGGCTCCAGAAATTTGTACGTAGGGAGTCCAGCATATCTGACCAGAATAAAAATCCCGGAATAAAAATATGTAGTAGGACTCATGAGTTCAGTTTTTATGGCTTAGTATGATCAAAATTGTGCTTTTTTGTAGACCAGAATATTAGGGATTTTCAATGAAAATAATGTAATTTGGATAGACAAATTAATTAATATTTTTGGTTGGCGGATGACCAAACCTCCACTACATGTCATTATAATTCAAGATTTTCAAATTTAAAAACTAAAATTTCATGATAAACTACATTAGATTAATTTTGAGATTCAAAGAGAAATCTTTTTATTTTAAATTTCCGGTCATAAATGGTGTTATCAAGTGCTATGTTTCTGCAACTACTTCCTTCAACTTTTATTTCAGAGGATGAAGCATTTATAGCATCTCTCCAGAAAGATGGAATCAATGGCTATATCTATGGCAACTTGCCAGGATTGGAAATGGATCAAGGCGATGAAATTGAATGGCATATTCTTGGTATGGGGACGGAATCTGACATACACACTGCATATTTCCATGGTAACATGCTTGTAAGTGAAACAGAATCTTCAACTACGAATATTAAACTGGAGGAGTATTCATTTGTATTACTGTCATCTTCACCACTGTTGAACCGATCATCATCAAAATTCATTTTAATTATCATTAATATTAATGGCAATATTGTAATGATGATGTTATGATTCATCATCATCATTATCATCATAATCACTATCATGACTCATCATCATCACCATAATCATAATAAAAATTGTTGTCAACATTGCAATGGCATACTTTGGAGTCTTAAAATGGGTAGGACGATTAGGCCAAATAAAAAAAATTATTGTGTTGGCCACACCCGACCGACCCAAAATGTATGAAATTGAGGTTTGGCATTTTTTTTTTTTTTACTACAATGAAAAATATAAGGCTGGAATAAGACTATCTTGCTGGACAGTACAGTAGGTGATGCGACAGTGTTATGCGATCACTTGCTTTTGAATATATATTTAAAAATTTGTTGTATTGTGTATTTTCTTTTTAGGCATACACATTTTGTTGATTTTCCCAGTAAGGTGATATGATGTGAATTTTAACTACTTGAGCGTGATTTGTTTTCGCTTCAAACATTTCCATTGCGCTTGGGCGTGGGCTAATTTTTGGGGCATGTGCCTCCACGCACCCTTAGATGCAACACTGCATTGTTGAAACTCTGCCACCGTTTCCATTTCCAAATGTCTCGGTACTGGGCAACACAACAATTACATCACTACGATTAGAATAAAATAGATTTAAAGCTTGTTGGATATGTTAACAAAGCAACAATAAAGCATAGCATCAATTTAATTAACAATACTTTATATTTTTTAGGAGGTAAGAAACCATCGGACAGATTCTATAAGTGTTGAACCAGCAGCGTTCTTCTCTGGTAGAATGAGGGCGGTAAATCCTGGCTCGTGGCTAATCACTGATGCTGTTGTAACGCATTACGAAGGTAATAGGCATCATATACGCCTTTCTAATTTTTTGTTGTATGAATTTAAATTTTAACAAAAAATAAAGATACTTAAAATTAGTAAATGATTATTTTAGATGAATCTCAAACTCTTTATAAAGTTAATGATGTTCCTGTACAGGATTCTCCTATGTAGAAATTGTTTTTGCTTATGAAATTATGTTAGAATTAAAGAAAATTTAAATAGAAAATGATTTATTTATATTAGATGGATCTCAAGCTATTTATACAGTTAATGAAGTTACTGGACAGGACTTTACTCCAAACACTGGACCTGTGAGGGAGTACTTCATTGCAGCTGTTGAAATTGAGTGGGATTATTTGCCACTTGGTCGCAATCCATTCACAAATGAAGAAAATCCGTAAGTTACATAAACTCTTATCGTCAAGAGTTTCACCAAATCCTCCATCTATCAATCAGTCAATTCAATTCAATTATATTTCAGAACTCTCCATAGAAAATACATTACAAGAAAAAATAAAAAATACATTAAATGCACATCAAAAGTCCACATAAACAATACACTGTTCAAATGTCAGATATTAATAAAACATATTATAGAAAGCTCACAATATACTAAAATATCAGCTCAAGTGTTCAAGTGTCTCATCCAGTTTATATACATTTTAGACTCATACAATACATGCAAGGTTTCACAACAGCATTTACAAGGGTATTGTTTCTATTTATCATTCTAATCATGAAACCATAGCAAGTTTTTCTATAGAACTCATTGAATATATAGAACATCTCTTGTTAAGCCCCAGACATTTTCTCAGAGCATTATTGTAACACACACCTGCAACTCCATGATATTAACCTGAGTAAACCCATAGGCTGCAGCATTACGTAGTGGTACAATAGGATTTAAACAGATTGCACTTAACCTCGTCAGAGCATTTGTTAAATTAGCAGCAGCAACATGTTAGCTCTATATTCATTCATAATTGTTGCAGCCAAAAATCATAAAAAATGAGAACAACAAATATACATGACAAAAATATAAGACAATTTAATCTAAAAATTAGAAATGTAGAAGTGACTGTTTCTATATTCATATAATTATTTAAATTAGCAAAAAAATAAATAGTTGTTATTTGATTAGAAGTTAATTATTCGATCCTTTTAAATGACAATTTCATAATATAATATTGAATGTTCATGGGATTTTCTAGATTTTAAACGTATTAACCAAAGAATCACATTTCACATGACGTTTATATTAGAATTGTTTTCTTCCAGGACGCCATATTTTAACACAGCAGCTAATCGCATTGGATCGGTTTACAAGAAGGCGGTTTACCGTGAATACACTGATGCAACATTCACACAAGAACAAAATAGAACAACTGATTTAGAACACCTCGGGTTCCTGGGGCCTGTCATTCAAGCTGAAGTTGGTGACACGATTCAAGTGACATTCCTTAACATGGCAACCAGGAATTACAGCATACATGCCCAAGGCGTTTTGTATGATAAGATGTCCGAGGGAATGATGTACAATGATGGCACATCAGGTTTGTCAAAATTTTCACTGTAACAGAAATGCTGCTCATTATGCAGTGTTAAGTTCATTTAATAGGTCAAATAAAAAATTGGGTCAAGTATTATTCACCACCCCCATTTGGGTGCTTTTGAAGGATGACTGTACATTAAAACCAAGCAGCAGTAGCGTGAATGGGTGATATGTTACAAGGTATCCCAGACAATTATGAATTTCACAGCACAATTTGTATTGTCAGCATTATTATTGTTATTATTCATATTATTATTATTTTATTGTAATTATTATTTTATATCAATTTAGTCAAAAGCAATATAAGAAATTAAAATATTTTTTTTAGGTAGGTTCATAAACCACTATATCATATCTAACTACTGGTATTAATTTTATTGCCAATAATATATGTATTTACCACTTTTTATTATAGTTCTTATTTCATCATTACACTGAAAACAACAGCTTTACAATTTTCCACCCCCAACCCCACCCCCCAAAAAAAAAAAAAAATTAAAAAGCTTAAAATATAAAAAATAATAATTATATTATAATAATAATTAAACAGCAATTAGTTCTTAACTAAAATTTTTTTTAAAATCTGAATTTTTTTAGAAGCAGAAATGGGTGGTGGCATTGTGCAGCCAGGCAAAATGTACACTTACAATTGGACAGTTCCGAATGACTTTGGACCAACCGAATTTGATGATGATTGCCTTACCTGGATGTATTATTCTGCTGTGGATCTTGTGAAAGATCTGTACTCCGGTCTTGTTGGACCTTTGATTACCTGTAGACCAGGAACTTTGGCATCAAAAACACAGGTAGAATATTTAGCTTTTCAATCATTTTATGCTTTATTTTTTAAAATTATGCTTTATTATTATTATTATTATTGTTATTTTTTTATTTTTTATTTTTTTTTATTAATAATGATGGTAAAATAATTACTGTAAAACAGTGGCAATTTATATTACTGTCATTATTCATTTTTATGATTATGTTATTTTCTTTTTTGTTGTCTTAGCTGTCTTTCCTTTCTCAAAATTTTTTTTTTTGCTGTTGCTCAAAGTTATATTTGTATTTTAGTATTAGGGAGCAAGCCGTTGTAGAGGTTTATCACTTGTTGGCTCGCTTCCATCCCTACTGTACATTGTGAGTGAGAAGTTTAATAAATAAATGAAATGAAATAAATAAAGTTACTGCTGTGTTGTATGCTTTTATGCTATAAATTCCCATGAACACTGATTGAATTTGCATTTTTTTTTTCAAATTGGTAGAACTTTTTGTTCTTCTTCGCATCTGATGAGAACCTAAGTTGGTACATCGATGATAACATTGTATCGAAGACCTCTGATCCGAACCTGATGAAAGGTGATGAGGATTTCGTGGCATCTAACCAAATGAGTGGTATGGATACTTTGATTTTCTTAATATATTCAAATACAATTCCATAAGGTAGTGTTAATCATCATGTTTAAAATAACTGTCTATCCTTTCTTGTGTTGATTGGCAGTATAGAAATTGCCATGTCTGTCCAATGGGTGCACATGATAATGGGGGGTGCAGGAGATGTACAGTACCCCCCATCCCTCTCACCAACGCCTGTGGAAGCAAATTAGTTCCATTAAGTGGGTTAAAATACTAAAAATGACAATAGGTATTTAGATACGCATTCTCGATTTTCGTAACCCCGAATCCATTTCTCATCACCCCAGACCAAAACTAGCCTACTTCCCCTGTGCAGATGCCCAACTACCAGTTCTGAGATACATGACAGAGTCATTATTATTATCGTAGCTGTATTTAATGTGGGCTCACACTTTGCCTATTACATGAATGCATATTCTTGCCAGCATATTAACGTCTTTTATTTCTTTATAGCCATCAATGGCTTCTCCTTTGCAAATCTTCCTAATATCAGTGTTTGCCAAGGCACTGAGGTCAACTGGCACTTGATGTCGCTAGGAAAAGAGGGGGATCAAACGACAGTGTATTTTCACGGAAACACATTTGTATTCAATGGTGCTCGCACTGACTCGGTGGCGCTGTTCCCTGGCATTTATCAAACAGTTGTAATGACACCTAGTGTCATAGGTTTGTATTATTTTATTATTATAGTAAGAAATGTACAGTAGTTAAATAATTAATAATGTTATTGATTAAAAATAAATTATGGGTAAAATTGACTTTATCAATTTTTTGGACTATCAATGTAAATTCATGAACTTCCTCTCACGAAGCACTTTATATCAATGAGTTAAAAGTTTGCTTATAATGTTCATTTCATCTTTTTTTATTGATCGCATTATTGAAAAATATGTTCAGGCTGGGATGGATCCAGATAAAAATCTGGATATTGGGGACATGTGGTGTGCAAAACACTGAGCAGTGGAGGCGGGGGAGGATTTTTGTTTAGAAGTACTTAACCACTGGTACACATTTAAATTGAAAGTTAGCTTGTTTCTGAGTTCCGTGCAGCCTTCTTTCTCCTTTTTTTTTCTGTCTCATTTTTCTTGTCCTAGTCCCCTCATGGTCACCCCTCCGCCCTCTGGATCCTGCCCTAAATCACCTCAACAGATTATAAATATTCATCATTATTATATATAAAGAAAAGCATAATAAAACCAAATGACATCTGCTCTAAAAGGAAAATGGAGTGTGGAGAGCCAGTCTGCAGTGCAAAGAGACAGTGGAATGATTGCAACTTTCTCAGTAGACAACTGTGATGGCTCACCGATTAGTAGCTACCAAGATGAGTGTGGCGGTGCTCGTACCTACTACATTGCTGCCGTAGAAATGAACTGGGATTTCGCAAAAGAAAAGTTTGACTATATTCGAAATGTCTCACTTGAAGATCCAGAGAGGTAAGTTACAAGGACCAACACACAAAATGTTTAATTTGAACCATCAGTGCTTCATGTGGATGGATATGGATTATGTTAGTGTAAACACCAAGGATAACCCACAAAAGTCTGAAGAAGACTTAGTGGGGTCCTTCTGGTGGTGATTGGGCAGTTCAATGGAAGACAGTCCCCTACACTTTTTCGAAGAGTGTACTTTTCTTAATGTGCACATGGGACATTGCACACGGGACCAATGGCCTTAACATCTCATCCAAAAGACTGTGCACTTATCGTAACTTGCATTGTAGCCCTCTAGGTGTAATACAAGGAGAGCAGCGATGGGAATTGAACCGGGGACTAAGAGGTCGCCACGGTTCAGTGCACACACAGTGGCACCACCAGTTTAGCCAACTGAGCCAAGCTACACTCACGTAATTACAATAAATAATTGTAACAGAAATGATTGCCATTAAAGGCAGAATTAACTGTCTTATTGATTGCAAACATAGGTTTTCAGAGGAATTTGAATTTATTATCATCGGAGTTGGGTTATAACTTCTCTTTTGATAAATATCTCTGGTGTGGGATATGTGTCGGTTGCTTATGTGCTATGTTCATCATTTATATACATAGGTGGAAGGGAGGTGTACAACATTTTGTTCAAAAACAATAAGTGTATTGATTCTGTAAACAATATCAAAGGAAACAACAGTACCTTAAGTTTGACTGCATGAGACAAATTTTTATATGTGGTAAAGACAGGCCAAACCAGTCACTCCTCGCAAATCATTTTTGGGAGATATATGGCCAGAACATGTTAAAATGTCAAAATTTTTCAAAATCTATTTTATTACACTAAAATAAACCTTATATTTCTATACATCAGGCTATGTTGATATTTCCCCATATTCGATGTTTAAACAACATTTTTTAATAATTTGGTGATGGTCTCTGCATGAGAATTCCCCAAACTTTGAAGGCTGATTTCTCTGTTATTTAAACAGCTGTATGATTTAACTCCTGTAACATCACAACAAAACATCAGATTTAATTGATTCTTTCACCATTTTATAACTGTCATATAAGTGTCACTCTTTAACACTGTAACTAAAAATCAACTTTTGCGAGGAGTGACTGGATTGGCTTATTTGCCACATATGTTCTTAAATAGATAATTCTATTCTGTTTGTGCCACAGTGATGGTTATGTCTTTGTCACTCAAACTGACACATTGATTGGAAGTGTTTACAAGAAGGCCCTCTTCCGTCAGTACCAGGATGCAGAGTTCAAAGTTCAAAGTAAACATGAAAGTTATCTCGGTACGTTGGGACCGATAATTAGGATGCAAGTAGAGGGACGCATCTGTATCGTTTTTAAGAATATGGCATCAAGGGACTACTCCATTAACGCTCATGGTGTCGTCGAGGTGAGCCGAGAAATGGAATACGTGGCACCGGGTGACACACATACGTACATCTGGGAAGCACCCACAAGTGTTGCACCGACGGATAGCGATCCAAACTGCGTCGCTTACTCTTACTATTCAACCGTCAATAGGGTTCGAGACATCTACTCTGGATTGATTGGCCCTCTAGTGGTGTGTAAAAAAGGTGTTCTTGATAAAGCAGGTCAACGAAAGGATATTAAACGAGAATTTGCTCTTCTTTTTATTGTTATGGATGAGAATCAGAGCTGGTACCTTGATGAAAATATCGATACTTTCTCTCTGAAACCATCGATGGTAGATAAAGCAGACCCAGAATTTGAGGAAAGCAACTTGATGCATGGCAAGTAAAAAATTAAGGTTATTTATTTCTAAGGTATAATCTTGACAGCGACAAAACTTCAAATATTTTACTCATTGTTTAAGCACCTGGGGTCAGATTTGTCAAACTAGACATCACCTTAAAATTTGCTTAAAATTAAAAAGTCGACTGTACAAATGTGTCACCTAAGGGTCTGTTTCTGCTAAGCGAAAAAAAAAACATGTGTTTTTAAACGGTTATTAAAAAACAATTAAAAAACACATGTTTTTTTTTCCCAGCAGAAATGGACCTAAATACAAAAACACGGTTAGGACACACATGTTTTAACACCCTTAAAAATGTTTAAATGAATGCATAATTTTGGTCATATAGGTATAAATGGCTATATCTACACCAACTTAAAGGGCTTAGAAATGCAGAAAGGAGATAAAGTGGACTGGTACCTAATTGCCATGGGAACCGATGTTGATCTTCATTCCGTGCATTTTCATGGGCAAACTATGACCTATGAAACGGATATGACACAGCGGGCTGATGTGTTTGAACTTTTCCCAGGTAAGCCATTCACATTTGTTAATGGTTACATGATGTAGTTCAAAGTCTGTTTATATTATGGTCTTTACATGATGTTAGTTTTGAATGTAGTCACTACACATCAATGTCATTTTCCATTGTCAAAATAAATAAATCCCTACTACAAACAGATGTGCAACAGTGTAGGTTTATTCATGTGTTCATAACCAAAGGCTTATGCCAGTACAGTATCTTCATTCTACAGTTTTCATTAGATTACAAATCCAGTTACTTTATAAGATCTAAGTTGTGTATTCTACATTTTTTTTTGCACATCATTTGTTCAGTGTTGGTAATTTTGGATTTAAACAGAGAATCGCTCAGAGCTCTTTCAAACTTTCCAACCACAAGTTTTATGTATGTATATTAATTTTCTTCATGCACATTCTTTTTTTTTTTTTTTTTTATCAAGGTGTTTATAAGACAGTTGAGATGGAACCAGACAATGTTGGAGTGTGGCTTCTTCACTGCCATGTGAATGATCATATCTTTGCTGGTATGGAAGCTTTATTTGAAGTTACAGGTAAGTTGATAACATTTATTCTGGTTCATATTAAAATGGCAAAATCCCCCAGGTAATCCCTAAAAGTCACTGCCTTATATGTATTTAAATTCTTAATGTAAACAATTATAGAGGCAATTATAAAGATTGGTTCCTGAGAAAAATGCATTATTTTGTTTCCCAGGCCCCTAGCAAAGCCCAGGGACCATGGCGCTGGCCCCGTCAACCCCACAACTCTCTTGACACTAATAATTACTAAAACAAAGATTGTGTAGGTAGGGGTGGTGCCAGGATTTGTCCGATAGGGGGTTCGACATCCCGGCCGAAAAAAAAAAGTGGGCGTGGTCAGTTTAGCTCAAAATCTCTCAAAAGTGTTCCAGGGGGCGAAGTACCCGAAAAATATGACAATTCAGGGATTTCAAAGGCTTATTTATTGAATCTCAGAATCTACTAATATGTAGAAAATACAAACATTTTATTTCTCCCCGACAAATTGTGGTTTTTCTCCCTGACAGGGGGCCCCTGTCCCCCGGCCCCACTGGTACGCCGTAGGCTGCACTAAGCTCTTCCTACACAAGATAAGTGCACAATTGAACTGGATGAAGAAACTGTTAGCTGGTTTAAGGCGGAACTTCCACTGTGATTTTGGAATTGAACAAACGAAAGATTTCAAATACTAATTTAATAATGATGCCTATAAAAATTACTGTCACTAAAAAGAAGGCGAATCATTGTTGCACATGTATATGGGTGTATAAGCTAACACTTTTGTATATTTTGTGTCAGCTTTATTCTTTTAGTTTTATTTTCGTTTGTTTTGTATAAGCTTCTTTGCACGATGCACTAATTAAATGTAAATATTATTATCAGCACCATCATCACTGTTATGAAATTATGAGATTATTATCCTAAAACTATAGAAAACAAAAAGATTTTAGGTCATAAAGAATTGACTTTTGAACATAAAAGGTGAGGGAATGTAAACAGCTGCTAGAGTATTGCTAAAAAATTGATATAGTAACTTGTTATTGAATAACATAATTTGTTTTCTTTTATAGATACTAAAGTACCAAGTGGATCGGAGGTCACTGTGGGGTCAATGCTTTTGCTTTCGATTGCAGTACTAATGTCAGCATTTATTAATTTTTGAATACTGTAATTTCTTTTTTAAGTGCAGATGATCAAGGGAAATTAAAAATCATAATTTACTCTGAAAATATGCAATTACATATTAGTAAAATATTATTATTTTTTAAAAAGTAGCATTTATACATTCTTGCCCAATTTATATTTATTTTTTTTTAAAGAATATACTTTATCAATTTTATGAAAAACTAGATTTTTTACATAAAAATACACTGTATTGTTCAGAAGAATAGAGGGTTTCTTGAACAATGGTCGTACAGTAGTGCCATATATTTTCCACAACTCTATGGCAAGGTGACAAACAATTACCAGGTGAAGATCCAGGGAGTAGGATCCCCACCAAAAAAAAAAAGAAAAGAAGCAAGAAAAGTGAGGAGCATGGTTCTCCAAAACAAGCTAATTTTTTATTTAAATTCCATGTACTAGTGTCCATGGCAACTGTTTCTAAACAAAAATCTCTGCCCACCTCTCAGTGCTTTGCACATTGTATGGCTTCTGCCCAGATTTTTCTTTGGATGACAATTCAATTTTACAATAATAAACCAGAAAGATTAAATATGGCGGCTGTTTAAAAAAATATTTTAAAATTTAATATGTACATACTTAGAAGTCACGTTGATAACAGATGAAAGCTCGCAGTATGTTTACATCAAATTGTGCTTGGTTTATTATCGATTAAAGAGTTCTACATTCATTATAAGCAAACTAGATGAAAATATGCAAATTATTATGTACAGTTATAGTTTTGCTTTCTCTGAGACAACTTACCCTAATTTAATTTTAATAATTCTTTATTCCCATGAGTATTACAGCCAAATTTGAGACCACCATTGGGATCTGAAAATTAGCGGTGGCCTCCGGGTTTAGTTGCCGGTTAGCTTAGTGTTAATAGATTGAAGATTGTTTTCTTTCAAAAAGTGGTCTTTAATTAGGTCTCAGAATTAGATAGGTCTTGAATTGGAGGTTGAACTTTAATGTTGACATGGCAACGTGTAACAGAACAAGTCAGCCGTGTGCAAAGTGATGTGGCATTTTATTTGCTCTGACTAGCAATAAACAGAATAAACAGGTGAATTATTGTTTCTAAATTTTATTTTTGTACACTGGTTCATCTACATGAAGTGATGTAAACTATAAAAGATATTGCACAGATTCATCTTCATTTTACCACTTTCTACAATTAATAAGTATAAGTTATAAGAACATTTAAAATTCACTTAACAGTTACATTCTACACAATTCTAAGTGAAAGTCTGAAAAAGTATAAAAATTGTTACTATTTACTTTAGTAAAGTATTCATAGGTGGTATGCGTATAATAATGATCACTCCTCCAACCGGATTAACTCACAACTTACAAGTGAGAGGATAGTGAGATGATGAGTGTCTACAGCCTCCTGGGGCAGTAGACACAAACACTGCTGATTGACAACCTGATTTGCAAATGTCACTATGGTTTGGGAAAACATTTTTTGGTCTTATATATTGCAAAAGTATAAAGTTTATCAGATTTTTACATCTCTTGCAAATTGAAAAAAAAAAATTATTTAATACTACATTTGTCATATGATTATCTAGATCCTGGTTTGTTCTATTAAAATACATTTACCAGAATGCAAGGAGTGCAGATGTGCTTAAAACCAAGTACCTGTACAAAGAAAGTTTCTCATCTCTGCCAACTTTTTAGGCTGCTGTATCAATCTTTTAAAATCCAAAAATCATTCTTCGCTGGAATAGAATAATATCTGCATTGCAAAGATTACTACCAATCGTAACAGAAAAAAATCTATGCAATATGTACAAGTATCTTAATAGACCACACAAAATGAAATGTAGTGATGACCACATGTCACACACTGATGACTGTGCATACAGTGACCACACCCAACTCTCTGACCACACAGATTGCATGACATATTTACATAGACACCAATTTAAAATTTGATTTAATAGAGAAAGTGAAAATAAAAATTACCACAAATCTACATACAATATCTATGTTCTTTGTTCACTAAAACAATTTCATGTATAGTAAAATACACAAATATACCTGGACATCATACAATAGTGTAAACTGGTATTTTTACTGTTAAGATAAAATACATGTATACATTATTACGCTTTCATTAAATACTGCTTATACATTGTACATGAGGCTTGCCATGCTAAAACCAGCATTGGTGACAAAAACATGAAAATTGACTTTTTAATATATTCATATTCTCCACATTATATGCTTTAAAATGATAGGTCATTTACTGGAATCAACTTACTTTTGCCAAGTCATGGCTATATTTCAGCTTTGCTGTACTAATGTATACACACTGCCACATTCTTATGATAATTACTCATTTAGCGACAGTATGTTGGTTATGGGATGACAAGCCTCATATATTTGTATATGTATAATATAAATATATATATATATTTACATATGTATTTACATACATATTACACACACACACATATATATGTATGTATATATATATATGACATTATTATGTTAATATATATATATTATGTATATATATATATTGACATTATTATGTTAATTACTCATTTAGCAACAGTATGCTGGTTATGGGATGACAAGCCTCAATTTCTGGCCGTCTGAGGTTCTATATCCCTGTCTCTTATACACATCTAGATGTGTATAAGAGACAGGTGTGTGTGTGTATGTACATCTCATCTAAACTACATTATACAGTATGTCTAAACATTGCATATTTATGATCCTCAAATTTTACACTCCACATAGTCCTGTATAGAGAAGAAATTCACTTGGTCTCCACATTCTTTAAAAGAGATACATTAAATGGGACAATTCAATTTGTAACAAATTTATACTACTTACAAAAGACATTAACATAATTCCAGTAGTTTTAAAATCAGGTGATTATGTCAAAGGTCAAAAGAAGGCTAGATGAGAGGCAGTGTGGATAGTATTGGGGAAAATCTCAAAAATACAAAAAATGTAAAAAAGAATACTTTTTGTAAAATTCACATGCAATTTTTAGTTTCTATTTTATTATATTTATAATGATAGTAATACCTAAGAGTTTTTTTTCTAAATCTGTTAATAGAATGAATTTTACAGATAAATAAACACTTACTCATACTGTATGTGCTCTGTAAACCCAAGTATATTTTTGACCAAAAAGAGCGCTTACAGCGACTAAAATTAGAACAAACTTTAGCATTATGCACAGCCAGGCAAAATTGTATAACCCTAATTAAATTCAAAGATTTATCACCCCACCCACTATCCTACCCCACAAATCCAAACATTCAGCACATCATCTCTCCCTTAATTCAGACAGTCACCACCTACCTACCAATTCTGAATCTTAAAATTTCATATAAAATGTAGTAGTATATTGCTAATACTGATTTCATTGCTATTAATTGCACTATGATTACCATTTTGCTTTTATCAAGTTGACATCATACTGTATATTGTAATTATCTGAATGATTTTTTTTTGTATATATAAAAGCTGATATCACTTAAAAAGATCTTAAGACCGCCTTCCAAAAATGGAGAGTATGCACTTGCACCACACAGATTGTAGAATAAGAACAGGCATCTCTTTTGATGCGTTATCTACAATCAGTAATCTCTAAAAATATTTTACTTGTAACAAGTAATCCCTAAAAATACATTATTAAGATGGTGTAATCCGTTCAGATAATTTAATTGAGACTAGTAATTAATGAATTTTATATTAATGCACAGATGTCCCTTTGGACCAATATTAAATGAAATAAATAAAGATAAATCAAACACACTGATGAACATTTATAAATACCAGCTAATTGATGCTAAAAACAGCAACAGAAATAATGTTTTTTTAATTGTGTCTGCACCATTATAAAAGCATGGTATGTCAATATCATTTATCCTGGGACATTTATCCTGCTGCGCTAAACTTCTTTTTTCGTCGTTGTGGGCACACGTTCCGTTGACGATGCGGAAAGCCCCAGTACCAGCAATGCTAGAAATAGAAAATAATTGTTATTTGCTTAGAAGCAAACCCCTGGAAATCATTACAACTTTGCTGATCATGTTAAAAATGTTTTTAGAAAAACTTCAGTTGCAGTAACTGATTAGTGTGTCTATTGTGCCTTATAAAGTTTTTGGAGGCTTCAGTGCGGCGCTTATTTGAGAGCGGCGCTTATAAAAAATATTGGTGAGGTGCTTTCCATGCCCTTTCTCAGGTTACCTATCTCACTTATTCCTGTATATCGGTAGGCCTATCATAATTCCTAGTCATCTTAAATAAATTTATTGTGTTATTTATTTATTTTAACACTGTATACATTGTATATAAAACCCTGCTTCTCAAAGTGTTTCATTACACACAGGCTAATATTATACTCTTCATTAAGCACTGCGGCACTTATTCGAGAGCGGCGCTTAGCAAAAATAATCAGCTTTAGTGTAACGCTAATTCATTTACGGTATATTTAAATATTATTTATATATTTTATGTTCAATTATAATAGGGCCTTTTCTTTCTGGGTCATAAAGCCATCTATCTCTCAGGTAATTAGATACAGAATCAATCAAGTAAATTGAGCCTAGGGAAATATTACTTGTTTTGTACATATATAGGCTGATTAGTCGGTTCAACCATGTCTAATTTGGGTACTTACATCTTGTGTGTGACACAAGTCCAAATTTGAGATCAACAGTCTTTGGCACGAGCTCCCACGTCTTGTACACAATGTTGGTCCCGGCCAATTTCTTTTTAGATCTTTTACCTTTTTAATTATTGTTTTATAAACATGTGGATCTTTCAGTTAAAATCATAAGTAATTTCTAATGTTTTTTTTTTATGATAAAAAGAAAAACTTACGAGTTGGTTATTTTACAGTTGAAATTGAAGTAATTGTGACGTTCCTTGGTGTTTCGCCAATTCTCAATCACAAGTAAATACAAATTGGTCTTGGGCAATGATGACACGTAGTAGAAACCTGATTTGCATGGACCAGACACATTTCCAGTTATGATACCATTAGTCTCTGAAAATCAACAAGTTTTTTTTCCCATTATTAATTACATTAGAATGTTGTGTGGAGAGAGCCCTTTATAGATTCATTCAATTTTATGAAGAATTTTTTGCACCTACCTATAACACTATCGTTTGCTTGGTAGCCCACTACATCTTGGATGCAACCAAATGAGTTGGAGAAGGAGGGGGTTGGCCCCTTGTTTTTGTAGTAGTTGTCCAGCTCCCCAGGAGTCATAGGAATGCCTTCAAGGCTTACCTGAAACAAGAAAGTAGTGACAGTTAATTTACTTTATAATATAAAATACATTGTAGTGAAAATACATAGTAGCTAAATTATCAACTTCCAAATAGATGAAGATAAAAAATATAAAAAAACTCTACAGTTAAAAAACTGCACTGGCATGGCAGCCTAGTTAAGTATAGGGGCACCCTTCATAATTTCTTGATATTATTTACCTTTGGGGCGTACGGAGACACGCTGCACGATCCCTGAAAATCAATTTGCTCTTTACGTACAAAAAATTGGTGTTTGTAGATTAACTCATGCATCACTTCACCTTCCTTCTTGCCGAGGGAAACACGTTTGTATTTACGTTCATCTAATGCCGTTGCCTTCAAGAAATCGTAGTCGATCACGATGTTTGCATTCTTATCAAACAAATAGCACCTGAAAACAGAAACATGTTGATTTAAATTCTATGTGCCTACCTAGGCTGAAGATTTGCAATAACGTTTTTGATTCCTCCATTACCCTCAATGTAATTTTCTGGTTAAAGTATAATTGTGTTCATAGTTAAATAATGATTAAGTTGTCTGATCAAAACTCTTTATAGGGATCATCTAATGGGATCATCTGGTGGGATCATCTGGTAGTTACCTTGTTTGGCAGCCTGGTTCTCCATCTGGACATAGATATTCCTGATCACACGAGTGCTTGTTGTCTGTAGCTTCCATTCGTTCATAGACAGCATTGTGGAAATCGTTATAGAGAATATCGAGCGAGGTGACAGCTTCCACTCGCTCCATGGCACAGCGTGGTCGTGACCTGTCTGTGTAACTCGGAGCATCACTAACGTAGCATCGAGCTGATAAAAAAATTATTTTTGAGGTTAAACTTATAAAATGTACTCATTCATTTATGTATCATTCACTTTTACTCATTCATGCACTAAAGTAGAACTGCAAAAGATCTGACTCTTGCAGCTTCATTGTAACACAATCCTATCTCAAAAAAGTACTATCACGAACTAGAGGGTGTCTTTCAGAAGAATGTAAAAGGCATACGTAAATAGGGCCCCAATCTCGTGGTAGTACTTTTTTAACGTTTCATTGCGTGCATACAAAATCAGGGCAGTCGGACCTCTTGCAGTTCTATATCCTCTTTAATTACAGCTAATAGCTCAATCTTCACAAGAATTGGTGGAGGAGGGTTGGTTGGGGGTGCTATGATTGATTAATTTTATCCAATACAATCCAGAAACTAGTTTGCATGGGCATTACTCTCAAAAACAAAAAAACCTAACTTACATGATGCACAATCGGAATCATGAGTGCAGACACATCCTCCAATGATAAGTCCTCCCTCATTTCCTTCGCATTCTGATTTGTTCCGGGTCTGCATGCCTTCAAAGATGGCCTGGGAGATACTAATGATTTTGCCGGCTCCAGCGGCATCCATATATGCTGTAGAGATTGAGGTCTTGTGTGGACTTACAATTACACGGTGATACCACGGCCGTCTAAAATATAATTTGAAGTAAGGTGTTGCCATAAATTGTCTATAATCTGAAGCACAATATATTGATATCTTGACTATTTACAATTTTAAGTATGTTCATACCCTGGTGGTCTGCAATAAAGACATCATAGGACCACCTACATTGCAGCATTTTTATAGGGATTCCAACGATGATGATGTACTGTATAATGATGTTGGCATTAATGGTGGGGATGAAGTACTGTAGTTGATAAAAAAATGAATGATGCAAATTTGTTAGCAAAACTATTAAGGAAAGGACAAAATAAAAAAATGGTATCATCTTAGAGACAGGCCTGATTGGAAAGGCATTCACCATACAATAGGTTGAAAATGGCTAATAATAGTGTGATGGTAATGATAAAGATGATGATAATGTCTTAATTATAAAATATTTTAAGTGTTGACAATTAGTTTAATTATATTTCATAATTATTGTTTAACTTACCAAATTACACATAAAACATCTGAATAAATGCCATTAAAAGTGAACTTAATCACTGTAACACAGTGGCCAGTCAAATTGTAAAAGTCTAAGCAATTTTGCCACAATTGGGCCATGATCAGTATGTATGTTTTAATGTACTTAACAGTTTGTACCAAAGTGAAATGTTTCTTTAAAAAGAGTCAAATTGACCTACTTCGTTGGGTCGTATGGGCGACTTGACCTATGACCTGGGTATGTCCTGAACACTCCACTTCGACACCCAATATATGTCCACTTTACATCTTTTAAAAGGTCAAAGTTGCGCTTTTTCCAGATTGCTTCAATTTGAGACGTTATCAAGACATCAGCTCTGTAAGATTTTAAATTGTGTATACATAAAACTAAATATTTGATATCATTTTAAGCAAATGATTATTTAAGAAAATGGGTGGAAAAATGTAAGGTATGAGTAAAATATATGATTGTGCTTAAGTAGAATTTTTTTGTTTTGAATACAACTGAAAGAATATGCATTTTAACAATTGAAAATCCTGTTAACAGTTAAAAGTACTTGGTGTAATTGAGTGGAGAATTGTTGATGTGGGAGAAAAAAATGAATATAGTTGCAAATAAAGAATTGAGGAATGAGGGAAAATTAAGTAATGTGAAAATAACTGAGTAATATGGAAAGAAAATTTAATGTCAGAAATACACTATAATGGGGAAAAAAATTTACTTGATGTTCTTTTCAAAGGTTCCATTTGGACAACCAGGATTGTCATCACCATTCATGAATTCATGCGCCATCACAGTCTTCATGGCGAGGTCATCATCAAAGATAAACTTGTTTGGGTTACAGTAACATTTTGGCGCAAATTTTACTGAGGAATGTTTGTAAGTCACTGTCAGTCCCTTATATTTAGGCTCATCATACTTTATCTCCATCTCCTTGTACAAATCTACAAGATGAAAGAGAGGGAGTACAGCCACTTTACTGTATATCAACGGTAACATCATGTTTATTAGCTCCACTCAATTTTCTGTAAACAACATGTGTTCTCTGTACAGCATATATTTAAGCCAAAGAGCACTTTAGAATTCAGACGACAATGGGAACCCAATGCCCTCATTGTCCTACTGATTTCAAGTGACATCACTATGTTATTGATCTTAGCCTAGTAGTATTTTTGAACGCTCCCTATTTTCCCAATGCATTTTTTCAATGTATTGCGAAGTACCATGAAGTTACAAGAGGAAATATAACAACCTTCGCTCCATCAAAAAGTATGCAATCAACAAAGAAAATTGCACATAGGTTTAACAGAAATATATCAAATGTATTCTTATATTTAATGTTAAGTAAAGTTGTTTTAATGCTAATAAAGTTTTAATGCAATATATCTGATATAATTGTACTTTAATTGTTTAAAATATTGTATGTGCCTGTAATCATTAGAATGGATATTGTTTTTTTTTTTTTGCTTTATGAATAAATATTATTATTATTTTTATTATCATTATTATTACTACTAGCAATTTTTATAAATTATTATTGGAAATTTCTTTCATAATGTAAATTCAGATTGTTTTTTCCAGCATTTCAATGTTGTTTTTTAATACAAATAAATGAAACCAAACAGAAGATCAACTACCAGGTAACACATAGTTTGGAATTAAAAAGTATTATCGTACCAGAACCATTCTTATTTAAACGTTCCTTTGCCAATGGACTGTTGTACTCTGTCAAAATGTTAAAGACACTCATCGGTAGGGATGATTTATCTTGCGGTTCATTTGAACGGCGAAATGTCTAGAAAAAAAAATGCACGGTCATTCTGAAACTGGTGTCCAGTATATGCAAATTTTCATCAACACATTAATAAATAATAAAGCAACCCATGGATCAATCTCACCACGGTATCAGATGACGACTAAAGCTATCTAATGGTTCGAAGAGGTTAATCAACTCAATCAAGTCAATCACTCGATTTAGAAAAATATTTATATGTACTTACTGAGTCTGTGTCAGCCAAACTGAAGGCAAATGAGTATTCAGATTGGTTGAGTGATGTGTAGTAGTAAGTTGCAGGCATAATAAAAACCTTTACTCCATCTGAAAAATCACCCTAAATAAACAACAAAAATTTATATAAAAATTTCATCATCATTGTCATCATCATCATCATTTACAGTCTGTTGAGCGAAAGTTAGAGTGTGGAGTTGATCCCCACACATGAGGGTTAAACCGTGAAATTAACTGTAAGGAGGTTATATTCTGCAGGACTAGGTGGTGTGGTCAACCAATAATATTAATTATTGTAATAATAATGACTATACAAACAATAATGTTAATAATGATTATGATGATAACATGTGATATTATACATGGTAAGCTGTAGACACTTTCATACAATCGAAAGAACAATTTAATATGTTTTATCCAGAGTATGAAACTCTAATTAAGAATGGATTGGATTGGATTGGATTTATTCAGTGTAAACACCAAGGACAACTCATGAAAGTGTGAAGAAGACTTACTTATATAATTGGTAATTACATATCCTTGCTGTTATATTCTTCAGTTTTATCCTTCATTTTATGTACTTTTGGTACTCATGTGATAAATTCATTACCTTAGGTACTCCCCTGACCGCATTCTTGATGTATGTGAATCCACTTTTGCCCGCCTTCATGTTATTTTCTACGATACTGAAATTCTCCGGTTTTCCATCACGTTGTTCTAACTTTGATATTGTGATAAATATCGGATCATCTGATAACTGAAATAATTAAAATCCTGTTATCAGTAATTTCCATATAAATCAACCACAGGAATTTACAACAGACATAATCAAGATTTGATCACCTGATATGAATAACTTAATCACATGACCTTAAAGGAATGGGAAAAAGTTTATGTGCCTTCGACCATAAAACTTGTCTTGGTGACATGCGTGATGCCTCCAATACATTACATAGTCAAAAAATGTATAAAAGTTGTTCCTCACTTTACTACTGGGTTTTAGAAGAGGATGAAAAATGGTTTCTCCCTCCTTATTGATGAGGAATGCATACACTGATCCCCACTTCTCACTAACGATCAAATTCTCGATCTCATCTAGGGTTGCATCGATGCCAACTACTCCTAACAACCTACAAGAAAAACCCAAAAAATACTGATTAATCAGGTAGATAAATGTCTTATATTTCTTTAATTTTTGAGTATGTATTTTATATTCCATAATATTCACCATTGGAATATTTAAATTTTCGTTAACGTTTTCATTAATGGAAACGTTATAATACAATACTAATCACCACAATGTATTCTACAAACTCACTTTTTACTAGATGTGCTAACAACAGGTATCGCATAGGTCACCATTAAACCCAGCCCCCATGCATCCAGATAAGGGGCAGTCCAAAGGCCCTCTTGGGTGACAGAGTTGGTAACAAGGAAATCAAAGTAATCACTCATTTGGGAGATGAGGTTGGTACCATCCTCCAGCTTCTGCATGTGACCTCCGTTGTCGCACGCTAATTTACCAGGAAACTCCTCTCCATCTGCCTTTGTTAAATAGCTAAAAATTCTAGTCTGAGAATAATAAAAAAAAAAATCATTAATTATTTCATATCTAATAAAAAAAATTACATAATTAACATAATTTATTAAATTATAAAAATGAATTATAAATAACTGATCATGAATAAATTAAAAAATCATTAATGACTTCATATCTTATTAATATTATGACTTATTCAATAATAAAAATTATGTTTATAAAATCATAAATCTCTGGGACTGACAATATTAATTGTATCATATAATTATAATTAGTTATGGTCATGTAGCCAAACATTACACCAGACAGGATAAAATTCAAGGTTTGCCATCTCTGAAGTCACAAGGTGTGAGGAATAACAGTCATACCAACTACATAATTAACATATTCATTATTAATTAGCATAATTCTTTAGTTAGCATAATTAAATACACATTTCACAAGGTGTGAGGAATGACAGTCATACAATCTATATCATTAACAAATTAGTAATTAATTATTTAGTATACTTGTTTAATTAGCATATTGATTATAAAGTATTGATTATAAAAGAAGATGTCAATACTTACCCTTGGACTCATATCTTTATTCATTACAGAAACAAAATCAAACACTTTTGTCCAGTTGTAGCGACAAATTGGACCAGGAACGTAACCACTTCTTGTGTAGTAACCTGAACATGAATAATTGTTTCAAATATTTCATAATATTTCTGTTAGTACAAAGGTTTCTTACTAATACAGCATCTATATTTAATTTTTTAAAGAAATAGTGAAATAGAAAACAGATAAAAGTAAAAGGTGGCCAATTGTAGACTATGCATAAATACATATGCTGGTGTTAATTGATTCTGTTTACATGGGTCATTCTGATTGTGACCTCGATCCCATGGATTGTATACACATGGATTGCAATGGGAATTAAAATTAATTACAGATGCTCGACACTTTTTCCAACATTATTTTCTGGTCAATACGTTATTTTTGTGAAGGGTGTTTGTGGGGGGCATTTATTCAAGGGAGGCGTTTGTTTGAGGGAGGAGTGTATTCTTTTGGTGTTAAACATATATATATATACTCAAATTAATTTCACTTATTGATCCCAACAGGTTAGAGAAAATGTAATTCTACTGAAGCAGAACATTAATAGAATGTGTTGTGAATATTTCTTCCATTTGATTTGTTTACTCACTTAGGGGACATTTATTCGAGGAAAAAATAGGGGAGGCATTTAGTCCAAATGAGGTTCTACAGGGGGTGTTTATTCGAGGGGGCATTTATTGAAAACCGGATGTTTATTCAAATAAATACGGTATATAAAAATGTGTATACAGGCTTCAGGATATACACTCCTAAAACTATATTAAACAATGGAATTGAGATTGGCATTTTGATTCTGATTGTAATATACTTCAAGACTAGCCACCCTGCACAAGCTTCGTGCTCAAGTGGCTATGACACCAGGCTACAGGAGTTATCTAACAGTCGTGGGTTCAATTCCCAATTAAATCACTAGTAAGATTTTTTTCGCAAGTATTTAGGAACGTACTGAGTATTCAGTAGTACGATACCATGTCAGGTAGGGTAAAAAATCATTCCGATTATAATATATTCATGAATTCATTATTAAGTGCCTTGGTTAATATCAATGTTAATTATAGGAATTACCTGGCCCGCATCTTACACTTTCACCATCCGTATCCAGACCATCAGTAATAAGAACAATCAGTGTTTGACAACCGGTTCGTGATGGGCCATTCAAAAGTTCAAAGGCCTTCTCAAAACCCTTCCTTTAATAAAAAATATATAACATATTAAGAGCAGAAATCAACTTATCATAAAGTAATAATATAATAATAATAATGATATTCTTTATCGGCTCTCATTCAAATTGGATATCAGAAATTAGGGCCGGGGCCTTCCGGCAGGCACAGTGCAGTGCCACCCACCTTAACTGCAACATATAACAGACATATACGCATACCAACATTGCCTTTAACCCACAACTCTCAATTATAAGGGTTATTCGAGGAGATACAGTAAGTGATCAGACTCCAAGTAAAACCCAACGCTGGCAGGGCTTGAAACCAGGGTCTTCAGCACAGGAAGCAGGAACAATACCTCTCAGCTGACCGCTCTACTCGAAGATATTGAAATATAGTACAACCCTTTAAAGCGACACTTTTGGCAGGGGTGGATACAGGATTTAGCAAAAAGTGGGGGGGGGCGGCAAAGTAAAGATGGACTACCATCCGAGGTACGATGCACCGAGGGGGGTGGGTGTTTGGGAGCGCCCCCCCCTCCCAAAATAGGAAGATTTTTTGAAATGGTACACCCTTAAAAGCTCTTATAGGGCATCTTACAACAAAGAAAGTCATCTAATATTTAGAAGCAATATGCCTACTTTTACTTACTTAAATTTTCTTTGTAGCTATCCATTGCGCAATGTGACATAGAATCAACCTTTCTATGGAATTGAGTATCCATTCAATTATCTCCAAAAAAAAAAAAAAAAAAAAAATTTTTTTTTTGGTGATAAAAGGGCGGGCGCGCATCACAGGCGCCCCCACCCCCTCAAAATCTGCCCCTGTTTGGGACCAAAAATGCATCCCCTTATTATTATAGGGATGTGCCCTAAACAGGGGTTGGCTGTAGAGTTAAAACATACATTTTCCCTTGCTTCACGGCCAAAATAGTGCCCCAAACAAGGGGTTGTTTGCATAATATTAATATAATGGAGTAAAAACATTTAAAAAAAAAACAAACAAAAAAACCACATTATAGTATTCAATTATACTAACTTAAGCTCACTAGTTCCTCCTGGTATCAGGTTGCCTGTCTTTTCATTGAGGTCTTTTCGATGAGCGGTGGATGCAGGCACTAGCCGATCATCTTTACAGCTCAATACTTCAGTGTTGTAATAATGCCATCTGCAAAATTAAATAAGCACCTCTCTCGGGTAAGTGTCACTTTAAAAAAAAAATTTTTTTCTAAAATAAAGTAAGCTAAAGAAGGTACATATACAAGCCTCATCTATGCAAGCAATCACTAGGTGATGCCTCATCCACATTGCATCATATATACTGTACCAACGTGGTGGCGCCAGTGGGGAGGGGAGCAGGGGAACATGGCTCCCCCCTATTGGGAGAGCTGGTATCTCCACAAGGGAGAAACACACAATTCGTTTAGGAGGAGAAACAATTTCATGTAATTTTTGCATATTGTGAGATTTTAAAATCGATTAAATAAGCCTTTCAAATTCCTAAGTTGTCTTTTCTGGGCCTTCTCCCCCATGAACCTACAATAACGGGTGCTGCCCCTGGTCCTGCCCACTTATGATCTCGTAGAGGGAATCGGTCTCCTTGTAGGGGGAAATCAACACCCCCATCATAGAAATCAGACCTCCAGGGCTAACTCTGGCACCACCGCTGAGTACCAAAATATTCACAATAAAACATCTCTCAGAGAACCCAAGTTGGAAAAGCAAAAAATAGGGAGATTTTTCGTGAAGCGATTGCCGCCTGTAGCGACCCGTTGTGACGCCTTAAAACGCGCGGACAACATGGAAGTGTTACACAAAAAGAAGGAAACAAACTGTTTTCATCAATTTGTATACTTTTATTAAACAATTTTACATTTGTTTACACATTGCAGTTGCCCTAAAATATAAATTTATAAATATTAATAATATTTATTTAGCATTCTGCTAGTAGAGCGCTCTTGGCAGCAGTCAACAAGGCCTGGTTCATGCTTGGCATATGAGAGGCTAAGGCTGATTTACTACATCTCTTCAAAGAACATAGAATTCTAGCAAAGTAACTGCAACTTGCCGTGAAATTAAAAACATATATTTTAAATTATACTACATGTTTTAAGTCAGCATTTATATATGTCTAGCCTATAATAACTGGTACATAATGCCATGAAAAAACGTTAAATCCTGCCTCGCAAGGCTCAATAACGTGCATAACCAGGCCCAAGGCCGCAGAGTCAAGACCACCACACACACACAGGCACCCACCCAAAACACACACCCCTGCAGTGCAGATAGAGCCTAGCCTAGGCCTACATGTATTTCAGGATCGATGTTAAAATAAACTTCATTTTTCGGAAGACGGCTTAGTACCAAAACCTATTAACTATGATTTTTTAATATTGTTATTAAACGAAAAAAAGTATTTTTTATGCACCGATTCTCCAAGTTCAAAATCATCGCGGAAAAAACTTGGGGCCCTATCCATCCATCCGTGTGATTTCTGATTTCGTTCATTTGTTTAAATTTATTAACTCAGCTGGCAGCCATCTCATCAGCCATCTTAACATGAAGGATAAACAAGGCGAGTCTACCACAGATCTAGGCCTTAGCCTTGCCATATGGAGCTGTTATTTAGATAAACAACTTAAATAACAACTCCCTGATCTAGCTTATGGCATTTATATGGCTGAGCGAGTGCCATAATATATTGGCTTAAGATAATAAATTTTGTTTCATTGGTCAATGACATCGTGAAAATTACATTTTTTTTTTTTAAATCGTGAGAAAATTAATAAAAATCTGGAAGGGAGACAGCCTAAAAAATTGGGAGAAATGCGCGATTTTTGGGAAACTTGGGATCTCTGATCTCTCCCCTCCCAGAGTATTTATAAATATTCTTGTTATGCAGTGTAAGAGAATGTAGGACATAAACCACCAAAAAATCGGGAGAAAATTAATAAAAATCTGGAAGGGAGACAGCCTAAAAAATCGGGAGAAACCCGCGATTTTTGGGAGATCTCTTATCTCTCCCCTCCCAGAGTATTATAAATATTCTTGTTATGCAGTGTAAGACCATCACATATCTAACAATATTATAACACCCACATCCTACTAGTACAAAATTAAACAATCAAAATCATCAAGTTTAGACTGTGCTAAATCCTTGTATAGACTTACTTTCCCACTTCATCCCAATGGCTAGCTCGTGCACAAATTACATTCACGTAGTCTTGCTTAGTGAGCGTGCTCAGAACGGCGCTTACCACTTGTTTGGTGATTTCAAATTTCTTGCCATTCATGGAATAGCTACAGAAATAAGAGATACATTTTGGGATTCAACATAAGAAATTAGAATAGGGAATACACACAATGATCAATAGTAGAAAATATATTTAAAATAGAAAACTGCCCAACTGCGTACTACAGAAGGCGATAAAATTTCAATAGATTTAATTAACTATAGTGATTGTCTTTATCGTATCCCATTTGATTTCATAAATTATAGAACTACTGTATATACTTACATATTTTCTAATTACCTATTCAATTTATATGTTAGTTGTTAGTAGGTCAAATGGAAAAATTTGAGTTGCCAAGACCGAACAATCCAAAATCTAGGTTCAGCGTATTTCAAAATATTTTTTTTACCAAAGAGGGGCAAAACAAATTGACAATGGTTCAGAAAGTCACTGAAGTAATAAATTTGATGCCTTTGTTATTTAAAGGCTGTTGTTTACATTCTACTACAAATGTCACACAACACACATGTATTACGAACTAAGATAAGATAAACTTTATTTACTGTCATTCCAAACAAGTGAACTACTGTAAAATCTCAAATTGAAGCCTTGGGCTTTTGATAGGATTTTTTTCGAGATGTGCTTCTTTTTGAGGCTACAATTGCAAAGTAAATAGGGAGGCTTCTTTTCAAAATGAATGCTGTAAATTTTGAGAATTTGTACTCTAAAACAATAAATAAGGCCACTGTAACATCAGTCTGTATCATGGAGTGTATTTAACTTGCATTAAATCACCTAAACTACTGTATAAACCAAGCTTGTATTAATTTATTTTGTTTTCTGTACAGTGTATGTATGTACTGTACTATCTCGAAAAGAAGCCTTGCTATCTTGAAGGCCATGGGCCTCTTTTCGAGATGGGCTTCTTTTCGAGGCTAATTTTGCAAGCTAAAGAGGGGGCTTCAATATGAGATAGGATTCATCTCAAGATTAAGCCCACTGGGCTTCAATTCGAGGTTTTACTGTATGAAATTACAATCTTGATAAAGAACAACAAACAAAAGCTACTATAAGTTACCAGCAAATACATAAAATACAAGATTAGTTAGACATTGATACATGAAAATAAATACAAAAAAAAGTTCTATTGCACCTGTTAATTACTGTATTTGCACATGCGTGATCAGTACTGTATTGCATTATCTATGGAAGTTTAAGTTGTTAATGTGTATAGCAATGCTAACAAAGAAATTCATATACTGATTTGTTTTACAACGGACGGAATCTCCCAGAGTTATTGGTCACAAAACAGCTGTTACAGTAAGTGGATGTGAGGTACAGTATCTTTTTAATTATTCTATCCAGTATCTTTGTTACATTCACATGGTATAGGGCATCAGGATAATCTATCGTCTTACCTATTATTTTACAAACATATTTTATTACATTTCTGAGTTTACTTTTTATTATATTCTGTCAAATTTGCAAACCCTGAATTACACTAACAAAAAATTAGCAGTAATGCATCATGACTTACATTAAAAAGACTTAAGTTTTTGAAGAAAAAAAGGGCATTGACCACTTTGTAATATACAGTGTGTTATGGTTCCAACTTTCCAGCTAAGGCCTTTATCAATCATTGTAAGCTTTAAGCTTATTTTGTCCAATTTTTGTATCTCAGGTGTGGCTTAGCGGAACAGTCCATGGGCAATGAGCCTCTAGAAAAGGACTAGACAAAAAAAAATTAAATCAAAATGACAACTCACCTGCAGTCCATTATAATAACTACATCCTTGGGTCCACTCGTAGCTGCGATGTACCAAGGCCGTACTCTTGGGTCGTAGTCATTGTAAAAACCAGCGAAATTTGTATCCCATTCACGTCCTGGGAAGGTCCACACCATACCCTCAGAAGATCCAAAATATTGCCATCTGAAAAGAAATAGGACGAATTGGCAGTCAAGCTTGTGTAGGTAAATACACGGATGACAGATCCAATATATTGCCATCTGAAAAGAAATAGGCTGAATTGGTTCTAAAACCAGGGTAGGTAACACCTGAATGACAACATATGTCATCACATCTAAAGACATTACCAACTGCCAACAATTATAATTATTATTTGGTATGTCTTTACTTGAACAAATGAAACATATAACATAGCATTATAAAGGATAATCCATATGAAAATGACTTACAGTACTGTATTAGGGTGTTTGAAGGGCATTTTTGGAATAAATATGGTATTTAAAATGGGTCCTTTTGTATAGTTGGGCTAGCTTGAGGTGATCTATAGTCACAAAAACCTAAGAAGATGTATACAAGACCAAGAATGCATAGTTTTATTCTGAGTAGCATCAACACTCCAGATGAACACAGTAGTTCTGGCTTATAATGGCCACTAGAAACTTACTGGAACTACCAAGATATTTACCGTAGTAAAGGATCTTTCTTTGAGTTCTCTGTAAACACTTTATTTAATCCCTGGAACATAAGGATTGTCTGAATGGTGTTGTTGTCGTCTCGAGGCACTTCATCTGATATTTTCACAGTACTCTTTGTCATACTTACATTCTGTTTAAAATAACTGAAAAATACAGAAGAAATAAATGTATAAATGGATTTACAGTAAATATATAAATTGAAAAAAAATTGTCAAAAATATCCATACAGTGATGGAACACTTTAGTCCCACACATAAGAAAATGTACTGGCTTCCAATTACTGAGCTAATTAAGTTAGTGCTTATTTTTAAAGTCCTCGAGCAGTAAGGCAGTAGCACTGCTAACTACAGCCAATATCGGCGCTGTGCTAGCTGCTCCTCGCCCAGGGTTGGTATAACCAAGTGTTCTCCGTTAGGAACTTAAGGGGGTTACCCCGATGCTATGGTTCACTTCAGCACCTGTCATTGTGGGATGATTTGAACATAAGTACGGCTGCTAGGAAGTCGCGGACCATGCCCATATGCAATTCAGCACAATGTTACTCCGAGTTATGGATTATTCTCTCTCTCCTTCAACTGACATGCACTCAATTATCCCTTGCATGAGATGCGTGAAAATTTTATGTAAGTGAATTGGGTTAAGTCATCATCACTGACCTCATGTTACCTAACTGACTACATGATGGCTACCCTAATGGTCGGGGTTTCAATCCCTCACTGTGCCCTTCGCTACAAGTGTCCTTGAGCAAGGCACTTTATCTACGTTGCTTCTCTCCACCCAGGAATATAAACGGGTACCTGGTGGGGTTGCCTGCTACCGCGCCAATATGGCCGCAACACTTAAGCATGTGGACCCAACAACCAGGGGAAAACAAAGCACTTGCTTAGATCGTATTTGTTTATTGTTTTGCTTGTTTTATTATTTTTCTACTGCTATATTGCATTAGTTAAGTTAGCACACTTTGCTTGGGTTTGGTTCTATGCAAGCTTTACTTGGGGGGATGATTGACTTATTGCACGGAGAGTTGCTTATAGCGCTTCGTAACTGAACATTTCGTAACTGGCATGCCCACGACCACTAGGGGGGAGTTGTTCCTAAAACAAAATCTACCGCCTGGAAATTGATCTAACTTGGCATCTATGTAAAGATGACCTTGTTGTGATTATGTTAGAACATTTTTTAAATGTTACCATAGAACAATGCAGAACAGTGTGGTATAGGAATAAGGAACTCCATGTACTTACGGGTTGAACACTAGGGGTTTGGGCAAGAGTTTTGGGATATCTGCATCCTTATATTCATCAGACTTAACCTCTGAGAGGTGCTCATATGTATTGTTGGCATGAAATTTGCTGTGAAGACTTGCAATTTCCTTAACAATCCTCTATTCAGAAACAAGATAGAAAAATATACATTTAAGTATGATTATTTTTGTTAATTTCAAAATATCTAGGTTAACTTGAAAATATTCTACATTTATTTTAACCTGTTTGTATAGGCCAAATAAAAATATATAGTTCCATTAATATTGAACAAATATCAATTGATAACTCCACACTTCAGGATAATAAATAATTTTTTTTACTGAATATAAAGGTTTCCTGTTTTACTGTACAGCAACAGTCTATTAGAGACCTTTACTATTAGCAAGTGCTTTTTGGTTACTCCTGGGCTATGGCAGTCTTTTATTTTTCTTTTGTGCTCTTTTTTCAATCTTGGTTTTTAAATGTAATGTTTTGAAATTTTATTGTACTTGTGTACCCAGACTATTATACAATAAATTAAATAAATAAATAAAATCAATAAACAGATTCTAAAATGAATATAATTATCAAAAATACACAGAATATTAAAAATAACCATAATAGTTGCCTAAAATGAAAAAAAAAATCTTAAGTCATGGATTTGGATATATTTTCAGGTAACAATTTCTGATTTACAGAATAACATGCACTAGGTGAAGTATTGAAAAGGTCAACACTAAATGGTATTGATGTTGCCCAACAGTCAATAATATGTTAATACTATTATAGACTGGTCTACTGGAAACAGTACTGTAATTACTTCACTACACTAAATCAGTTATGTGACATGCTAGTCAAGTGTTACTAATTGTAGTTACTGAACATTATAATTATTTCAACACAAACCAGTGTCTATGTTGTGGTGTTAGTCAATGTTTGAAATGTAAGGGATAGGACTACAAAAGAATCTATATTTATTTAAACAGGGGCATAGTCTGGTTCCAGCCTGGAAGGGGGTGGGGGGGAAATTGGTGCAAACATTGAGAATACAGGGCTGAACCCTATTCCAATTGAAATTAATGGTCATTTTTAGTATTTTAACCCACTTGGTGGAACCAATTTATCAACAGTCTGCAGTTATGATCACTAAACAGCATCTCTGATGTGGTGTTTCGCTCCTTTTCAATGTTAAGTGATTCAAGAACTTTTATTGTTCCAAAATAGGGAGAAATTACAGTGTTATAAATTGGATACTAAAAATATTATGTCACTAAAAATATAGTATCTATCACACCATTGAGCAAAACAATTTTAAGTTGTTTGATTGGTTAAGTTAAATAATATGTTGAATAGTTGGTATGTTTGTGAAGATATAGGTCACACTGAAACTGTAATATGTGAACTCACTCAATAGTATCTTCCTTGAGGCACAACAATTTCACATAGCTTAAATTTCTAATGACAAATTCCTAGAGATCAAGACTCATTAGTATCTACGTTGCGGCATAAAATTAATTGTAGATAATAAATGTTTAAAAATGTTCTGGATTTCCGAACATTTAATTGCACAACTTTTGAGTGATTAATTATAATATTAATCAACTATACTAGGTTATAAATGATTAATGAATTAATTAGGTCATGGATTAAAAGGATGATGATATGGGAGAGTGGGGTTTGTTGAAACATTGACATTTTGGGACATACGTAAAATATATTTGTTAGTGGGGGAGCTGATGGGGGGCGCGAAGAAGTTGGGGGTGGCTCGATGATCAGTTGAGGGGTGCTAATTTGCAAAATATGGTGATTTTATTTGATTTTTAACTACTTGACAATGATTTTTTTTTTGGGGGGGGAGGAGGGCAACTGAGGGTGCGCGGGTAATTTGGGGGGAGGGGCGTGCCACACACCCTCCCCTAGATATACCACTGCAGCCATTCATAGGACTGGTGCTACAACACTGTTAATTTGGGGGAGGTATATGTGTTTTTTTAAATTTCTAAGTATATTTTTCATAATTAACAAATTTTGTAATATCTTGACGTTCATAGATTAGGTTGAATAGTTTATGAGTATTTTAGGCCTAGTACAAAGCTACAAAATAAGGCTAACTATATATTTTAATAAATGCTCTGTTTGGTATAAAATATAGGCCCATAGCCAGGGGGGTTTTTATAGTTTGGGCAAATCCCCTTTGTCTATCAAACCACCCTCATGTCTTGCAACCACCACCCATCCTTGAATTTCCCTAAATAGTTCTCCAACACAACTAAATGCATTGGAGACCCACCTAGACTCAGATGGAATGTATTGCTGCAGACCTATTTTGAACATAACTGCATTTATAGCATGTTTTAAACCCATAAAACACCTTTATTGCTCTAATACATGACCTAGTTAGTTTTAAAAGTTTGTTATTTAAATGTTTTAATACTATTCCAACACTATGTTTTAACTAACTCCATGCCATGTTTCAGTTAACCCCATAGTTGGGATAAGTCAGAATACCTGAGGGGCGTTCCTATGTCAATTATACGAGCAATCATCAACAAATCTAAAAACATTTTTGGCTGTATCTATGACACATATGTACAGTATGTGCTTCTACTGTAGTTATAATTTCTTGGATAAAGATTTATAGAATTATATGGACATTTTTGTAAATTTTGTTTACCCCACTCCCCCCTATATTTTAATTATCCTACTGTAATTATAGGAATAATTAGGTCAATAATTAAATGTTTAATGCTTAAACAGATAGTTCAAACTCACCTTTGCCGCCTCTTCTTTCTTTGTGAAATAATCTCCCAGAATTCCTTGTACTTTTTCAATTGTTTTACTTCCATTTTTAATGTCAATTGTATAATTTGCAAGATCATAAAACTTCTGAGTCCATTGAGTTTGTAATCCATCACTTGTAACCTACAATATGTAAATAAAATAATAATTATTATACATTTATACTTTAATGCATGACAGCTGATTTCATTTTGAATGACTATAAATTTCCAATTCAGTCAACAAAACAAAATTACAATTTAATAGTGGTTCATGACTTCAAAACAAATATTTTTTATCCATTTATATTAAATATCATCACAAAAAGTACATTTATAATCAAAATGTTTGAAAACTGATAATTATCATAAACATAATCATTGTAAAATAGCAGCATTACTTTTAAATGGTTGTAGGTGAATCCCTTTGGAAATAAGAACTAATTTTCTTCTTTACTGACCATCGCCAACATATTTTGGAATAAAACAAAATAAATAATAATAAATCAATCTAAAATGAATAATCTACACATAATATCGTTAGGAATTAATCATCAACATTCTCCAAATTATGATGGTTCCAAAATGAATAAATTACAAAAAAATAAATTACAAATAAAATAAATATATTTTAAAAGACTTACTTGAAGAATATAATTTTGAATTAGTATGGCCCAATTCTGGACATCTCCTGCCAACCTTCCATCTTCGTCAGACCTGGCATAACTGTACCCTCCATACTCAATAGCCTGAGCTCTGGTTAAAAGCACCAGTAAGGTTGCTAAGCAAACAACTCCACCCATCCTCAACCAATCACAATAGTACAATCCTCAAATGATATGTTAGTGTGAAATTGATGAATTGTGTAGAATTGGTCTCGCAAAATACTTGATAACAAGCTTCCATCGATGATGGTCTAGCTGACACTGACGTGAATAATCAATCATTCACATACAGGGTCTTACTAAAATTCACTGTTGCGATCACATGATTAATAAACGAACCATTCACAAAGATCCATTTCATGTGAACGTCTTATATCTCTTCACAGAGTGCTACTGTAAATGCCACCGATTGTTGAGTCTCGATCTAAGCTTAAGTTTCCAATTCTACAGAAATAAATATAAAGTCTTGTTAATACTTAAATTCCAAACTGTGCTTCAAATTGATTTTCTTGATGCTTGTATACACAGTTCAATATTTAATATTCATGATGTTGAAATTAATCCACCTTTTTCAAATAATGAAATTGGATGCTAAATCAATAATTTTTAATTTACTAGTTCACAATGTGCATAAGTTTGATCACAGATTCTATAGGACCTTAATATTAGTAGGCTTGCTGGAAAAATAATATATATATAATAGTTTGTTTCTATAAAAATTCCACTAATTATAATCAACCAGATAAAGACTTAAAGCCCCCTTCTGTTAACATACTGTATATTCTTGCATACAAGACGAGGCTTAAAATAGAAAAGATAAATACAGGGGTCGTCTATATAACATACGCATTTTTTTAATTTTAAAAATTATGTTTGTCTTTGTGCGGATCATTCGTAACACACAAATTTACTACTGAAATGAAGCTATTTCTGTTTGAATGAACATAATTTTAAATGCAGGAAAATTAGATTTTAGATGAACATTTAAAAGCCCTTAAAATGTTATTACTTGGAAGATAACCCTTACTTTTGACTGTTTTTAGCTATAGATGCAGTATCAAGACCGTAAATTGCAGCAAAAAAAAAAAAGAAAAGGAGTCATTTTATATGCCCGACATACAAAAATCGCCCAAAAATCTTCTCAAACTTGGTGGTCGTTTTATATTCTGATCACTTTATTGTGAGAATATACGGTATTCCTTCGGTATAAAAAAATCAGTATTTTTAATATTTTTGAGCTGTAAATATTAACAATAATGATAGTGATATGTTGATGACATCTAAAAAGACTATAATACTACATGAGGTCCGACTTATGTGGTTTTGTTGGAACGTAATACTATTTCAAAAAGTACTGCCATAAAGGGGCATGTCCTTAAAAGACGAGTTTCGATCGAACTCTAATCGAATTCTAATAGGGCGCCCCCTATCTTGTGGCAGTACTTTTACGTAACGTTCCATAGCATGCATACAAAATCAGCAATTCTATACTCTTTGACGTCTATCATCAAGTTCCTGTATTATAACCAACAGAAAAAAAATGCTTGGAAAAAATCCAAAGATGACCCAGGATATTATTATTATTATTAATAACAATAAGGAAAAAAATTTTATTTATTAATTGATAATTATTAATAATATTAATATATTTAGGAAATAAAAAACATTACTTTCACAAGCATTGTGTTTAGGTATGTCAGAAAATTAAACAACCTTGCAGCAATTTTATTTAGTTCTGAAATATAAATTAGTATTTACGGTGTATAGTTCTACAAAAATTATTTTGTAAACTGTTATTCTATCATTATAATATATTTATAACGTAAAATTGTTAAACTGGATTCCAATAATTATTATATAGATTAGGCCTATTATCAATACAGTAATAGTTTTTTTTCCCCTTTTTTTGTTGTCCTGGAAAGCGCAGACGAATGCACAACCATTGACCATAGTAATTAATATCAATTAATAATTAAGTAATGATATTTATAAAACAAAAATTATCATTATTTATTTGAACCATCCCACTTTCGTTGTCGCTTTTGTCATCATTGTCATTTCATACTGTACCATACAAACAAAGAGCCTCAGTCAAACTTCACCCAATGGTTGCCTGCCCATTGTTGGTTGAGCAGTGTACCAGGCTATAATTATAATTACCAGGACCAGGGAGTTGTTATAGTGAATCTCCGTTATAGTGATAACAACTCCCTGTAATTACCAAAAGCGATGGGGAAGGGGGAATTATAATTAATTATTATTAATTAAAAAGAGCATTTACGAGACTTGCTTACACAGAGTACTTAACGGAATAATTGATTCTTCTTAGGGCCTATGTGCTTGCAGAATCTTCTTATTCTTATTTGTCCACGGTATTACTCCTAGGACCTACCTACCCAAACACAGACCAAACATTTCCCTGCACAGACAACGCAGCATCATCATCATCTTGACTTCTTGGGACTTGGACTAGGGTGCTTAGCTAATGTATAACAGTGTTCTGTAATTTATAAAACGAATTCTATCTAAAGTAAATCCATAATATTACAAACCTCAATGGGCACGTCTGAATATGCATTTGTATCAAAATTACAAATAATATTAATACACTAAGCAGATACTTCGTAATGTCACTCAGATTCCAGCGGTAAGACTTGTATTGTATCTTCTCCTCGCAGCAGCTAGAATAGTCTTAGTGATCCAGTCGCACGAGGAGCACATCTCGAGACGTTGGCTATCATTGATTAATTAATTTGATTTTAATATTATATTTTCATTTGTTATTATTAGGTAAGCTAAAAAAGAAACAAATAAAGGAGACTC